TTGTTTCAGAGTGCATAAAATCTACTGCTGAAGTCTAAAAAAGCGGAAGTACCTTCAAAGAGAGTATCCTGGCCACATGGGGGGCAACCCTGCCCTATCACCATGTTGCTGATTCTGGCTCGGACGAACCTGTGGCTGCGTGGATGGATGAACCATCTTGACCGACTCTTAAGTTCTTCTTGTCCTTTCTTTTAGGGTATGATGCTTATTATTTTTATTATGGCCTTACAGTATCATCTTGGTGAATGTAGTTCATCACTTATGCTACAGGTTCTCTAGCTCGTAAGAAAACAAACCCCTCTCCAAGGCAGTAAACTAAACAAACAATTTAAATAGGCAAACTATATTGCCTACAACCCAAAGGTCACATTTGTGCCAAACAGTACCATATCTTCTCTTCACTGTGAGGTATACAATGTGAAATAAGTTTAAGCTCATGCTCTATCTCAATCATAGATAAGATCAACCCCATGAAAGAACTCCTCACATAATTATACAATCTATGGATTGTAACACGGATGCCATATGTAGGTTCATACTTGATGAATATATTACAGCTCTTCAACTTCTTGAGTTACAGTTTTATTGCGCAAGCAAAGTTTGTGGTTGACAATAAAGTACATTGCTCTGCTTTCCAGCTGGATTGCTGTATTTTGTACTAGCTGATCTTGGTCACCTCTAGATTGCAGTAATGCTTTATTCTAACTGTGCTGAGTCCTCAAAGGTTCACTATTTGAGCGCAGGAGAAAGGGATTAGGGTTGCATGGCATCTGACATTGTTAAGTAAAATAACACTTCCTTCCAATTGAGCTATACCCAACTGATGTCAAGGTCACGTTCATATAGTTGGCAACAATGTAGAAATGGTTTATCATACTCTTTGGGGATTTTTTAAAATTTCCCAGTGCAGTCTACAGCCGAAGTTCCTAGAGGTTTCCCATCCAAGCACAAACCAGGTCCAAACCAGATTAGGTTTTTTGACATAAATCAAGGTCAGATAGGTATATTGTCACTATTAAATAACTTTCATTATTAACAAATATTTGATTTTTCTTACATGAAGAGAAAATCCACGGATTGGTCGGTATTTCAGCAAGGTTTGAAGGTAGCTCCCTGATTATCTAGTGATAACATCACTGGATAAGCTAAATTAAAACAAAAAACAAAAACTGCTAGGTAAAATTCACCTGCCTGAAAAAAATCTGTTGCAGCCCCTGCCTTTTGGAACAGCTTACCACTTGAGATGAAGTTGGCCCTGACCTACTAGCCCTTCAGAAACCATTAAAGACCTGGCTGTTTTCTGAGAATGGCATCAGAGTTACTTGAGCCTGTAAGGTTTTGCAAATTTACTGCTGACGGGTTTGATCCTTGGTTACCCTTTTAAGCCTTTTTTTTTAATTGTTATTTGTATCTGGTGTTTTAAGCTATATTAGCTGTCCAGAGTCACTACTGAGAAATGAGTGGCATATAAAAGAAATAAAATCAATCAATCAAATTCTTTATCTTTCCCACCCCATTCATTTCTCCTCTAGATGAATGTGGAAGATGACTCGGATGCCTCTGGTACCACTCTGATGTCTTGCAATGATCCTGGATCCCTGCCACCCTTCAGGATTAATAGCAGACACTTTTTTTTCTACTGCTCCGCTGCAGCCAGAATGGCCTGACTGAGGACTCTAACCATGTTGGCTAGGATTTCTGGCAGTTGGTAGTCCCAACATGTCTGGAGGGAATCCGAGTGCAGCAGGCTGGCACTTTCGAAGACTGTTGCTAATCTCTATTTTCCTTCTGCCTACTATTACTAGTCTTATTCTTCCCCAGGGCTAAGCATCAGTAAGAGAAAAAAAGGCAAGAGGAGAAGAAACCTGAATAGTGGCAACAGAAAAAAAGTAATACTTTGTGTGCAATAATCCAACTTTATAGCTTGGTTTGAATATAGTGCTTCTGGTTTCTTGGCAAAGGAATTGGACTGGGAGGTAAACATAAAGGAGATTTCTCCCTGCCTGTAAGTCTGCAGCCTCCATCTCATTCTCTTTAGTGCTACTGCTTTACTTTAAATCTGGAAGACATCCCAGAATCAGAACAGCAGACAGATCAAATCAGGACTCACCTTGATCAGCATAGCAAATGACACTATTTTCTTAAAATCTAACCATCTACCTCTACCATCACACTTGGGTACACACAGATATGGTGTGGCTATTTTACCTTCTGTCTTACTCCATTCTGTTCATTTTCTTTCCAAGGTCCAGCTCAGAATCAGCCTTTTCAGCAAAGAAGTGGTAAGTTACATACAGCATATCTTGGCTAATACCAAAGGAACTCTTCCCCCAAACCTCTAGAACACAGGTTCTTAAGCTAGAGTTCACAGATAGATTTCAGGGGGTCTATGAACTTAAATGGGGGAAAACATTTACAACCTTCACTTCTAACTGAAATTTAGCTTTTCTTTCAATAATATATGTAGGCAACATAGTAATTTATGGCTTTAGACTCCAAAAATGTTTGTTAACTTCAATAAATCTCACTATCTAGGATCACTATATCCTAGGAAAGGTTATGGTCTTGTTATTGATTTAATGGATTAATAAAGATGCACTTACATTACTACATTATTTATTATTTTAAAATATTTTGATAACTGTATTTGAGCATAATTGGATTTCCTGTAATACAATCTATAGCTATGTATTTTATTTTATGGACTTAAATACAGTTTCTGAGAAGGATTCCATAGACTATCTCATCAGAATCTCAAAGGGATCCATGGCACAAAAGGTAAAGAACCCCTGCTTTAGAAAAATTTGTAACAAATTCAAGAGAGTTTCAAAAATAAGCATATGAATAAAAACTTACCTGAAACAAACCAGGGAGAGGAGAAAGACCAATAAACTAAGTTAATGAAGCATATAAATCTCTCATTTTAGGCAGAAAAGTAGGATGCAAATGCAAATAATAAATTTATATTGATAATTCAGGGAGAGTTATAGAAGAAAAAATCTACTGCAACTTTCCTCTACTGTTACACAGCTTGCAATTCAACCCTACATAATTTCTTCCTTAGATCTTTGAAAAAGGGAAGGCCAATTTTCCATAGTAAATTAAGCAAAGAACACTCATGAATTGTATCCAATCATCCCATTTTATGTACTAACAGAAGAATGAATGCTCACAGGAACAAAAGTATCTACAGGGTGAAAGAGAAACAGCTGCTACTAAGCAGCAGATTGGACCCATCAAGAAGATTTACAGTACACTTAATGGAAAGTGGAGATTTGCAATCCAGACCATAATATGACATATGTGTATTATGGGCACTTCCATACAAGGACTCCGTGCCAGCTTAAAAACTGCTCTAGACCACTGAGATCACACAGTTGGCTGTTTCCTGGAGCAGAACAGATTTATTTCTGACTCCATTCTAGTCTGTTTCAAATCATAATAAAACAACTTTTTTTAAAAAAGCTGCCACTCTGTGTTGCCTATGGGCAGCTCCTTGCCTCATTTGCAGGAGTTACTGCTTCGCCACACCTTCTGACTTGGTGTCAGGTTTTCCCAAGGTTTTTTAGCTCTCCCTCACAGAAATTGCTAAGACAGCCTAAGGCACAAAGCAGTAAAGAAACAGATGGGCTCTGTATGTGTGTATAAACAATTGATTTTCTTCTGGCACAGAATGGAGATGTTTGTTACTGCAGGGTCTGCAGCAGGTGAGGCAAAGCAGCAATTTTTGCTCTTTCTTGGCATTTTAAGTATAACTGCTTTGAAAGGATGGGGAAACAGAAGTGATGGCAACAGGGAAATGCCTAAAGTATAATTTTGCAAAACTGCTGGCCTGACCTCCTCTATCAACTAAGAGCAAAGCATCCATCTACAGAAGATGGTCAGTGATAGAGGAGAACAATCAGTATACTGTGAATAGACTGTAGATTCTATTCTACCTACAACTGTCCTCACTGTAGGATAGTGTGTGCAGGGGGAAAAATGTATCCCAATAAATTAATGGAAGAATTCAAATATGCTTACATGCTGAACCATCTTTTCCCAGACTGGCACCCCCTAGCCCAGTTAGGCTTGCACCATGGTGGCCAAGAATTTGCAGTTGCAGGCTCAGCACATATAGAAGAAGCCAAGTTAGAAAAGGCTGTATTAACCCATCAGTACAGCAAGAAGAATGGGTATTCTGAGGAGCAGCCCAGAAAGATGTTTCCCTCTGAGACCTTTCAAAAGAATCCAAAACAGCATCACCTACAACCAGGGAGGAACAGGTCCTAAGCCGCCCTCCTATTCTTTTGCACTCCTAACCCAGGTTTTCATCACAATCTCACTGCAGAGGGAAGAGCAGATGAGGCATTGCCGCATAGCTGAGCGTGCTGACTCTGGAGGAAATTTCAAGGTTTTTTTTTGGGGGGGGTATAATTTAAGAAAAGCTTCCCTGCCTTGGAAAGCTCAAGGCAACTCCCACTTATTCCTGGTCAGGCCTTCCAGGAGTGCTGCTCGCTAATTTGGCAGCCACTCAGTCAGCTTCCAGCTACACAGACTAGGAGTGACAGATAGTAATCCCCGATTACAGAGCATCCACACACCTACATAACACACCGTGAGCGCACCTTTCGGGGACAACTTTCATGAAAAGATTGACTGAGCTGCACTACTCAGTTCCTCATACCGATCTAGAGCCTTAACGCGGGGCGGAGGGCGAGCCCGCATTCTTGGGCACCCGGCCACGGGAGAATAGGCGGCCATCAGCGTGGCGACCAACTCTGGCCAGCTGCCCATATGGGGGCTACCAAGATTGTGCCGCAGCCAGTCCTGGAGAAAAGCGGAAGCCTCCGCTAAATCGGGGCAGGGCACTTGGCACAGCCCGGCCGACATCGCAAGGCCCCGCAGCAAAGGAAGAGCCGGGAGGAAGCGGGCAGAGAAAGCGCTGGAATCCCCCGCCCCGAATGAAAAGAAGTCTTAATCAGACTGCGCAGAAGGGCCGCTCACTCGGATCTACTTACGCCGGCTTCCACAAGGCCACAATTCTGCTTCTCGGAACCCCTTCCTACGCCCTGCTCATCGCCTCCGAATTTAAGCGCAGCAGCGGCCCTTCCAAGTTCCGGGCCACGAAGGTGGGGTTTGGCTGGCTGGATGTGCGGGCGGGTCCACTGGAGCTTGGGCGGGGGCGGTGAACTTAAAGGCGCCGCCGCTGGGACTAGTTGCGATAGTTCAGGGGGTCCAGGTCTTCTCTGTGGGCAAACTGGTTCCGGGCAGTACAAGTCGCCCCCGCCGCTCCCCCCGCTCCCCCCGCCATACAAGCCCATAAATCTGTACGCACTTTACTGTTCTTGGATATATTCATTCTAGGTGATAGAAGGGGATGATTAAACGTGTTGAAGAACTGCCGATCGATCCGAGCGAAGGGCGCTCTCAGGGTGGCAACACTGCGTGTGCGCGGGGTAGGGGGCAGCGGGCGTCTCGCACCGGAAAGATGCAGATTAGTGAAGAGGTTCTGGTTTTTCCGCGCGGTATTTAAATCACGGGCTTATTCCTCAGACTTTGGGCATCTCTGCCCAAATCTCCGGAGCTTTTCTTTGACGGGGACGGATCACTTCGTGGTCTCCAGGAGCTGGAGTTCTTAACGTTTCTAGAAGAATAGCAAGCCTGCTCTCGTACTTGCGCTACATTTGGCATACAGGCGTGTTTCAAAATGGTGGGAAACCCTCTTGCTGATCATTAACGATTGTGGTGGGGAGGGCTTCAGGGGCCACAAAAGATGATGTTGAGGTTGCAGACTGCAAACTGATTTAGGGCAATGGGGGGAACTGGACCCAGTCCAAAGTATTCTTCACAGGCGAGTGCACCACACTCATTCCAAAGAGGACAAACGGAGCTCCCTTCTAGTGAAGCACTATGTTGTTTGCTCGTGCAAACATTCCAGCCAACTTCCTTCTAGTGAAATGCTTAATTCTTTGCCCAGATATTGAATGCCTTTTCGTAGGAAGCATTTTCCTTTGGGTGTGTCTGTGATGTGATATGAATATGTAAGGTTCACGGCTACCCAGAAAACGTGAAATCAATCAGCAGCACAAAATAAAAGACTTCAAGCGGGGACTTCTCTAAGCAGCATTTTATTTGGCCAAGCAAAAGTCTGGGTGCCCACACCATGCATCAAGAGAGAGCAGGGTGGCACACCCTTGGAGACAAAAACCACAGCCTTTTATAGTATTTTTAAAAAGGCAGAACATATTACCATTATAATGAAGATGAGTTTTACAACCAGTCAAAGAAACTTTAGCAGAATACATTATTTCCCGCCCTTGTTTGCTTACATTAACTCTATTCCCTCCCCTTGTTTGCTTACATTAATTTAAAGGAGTTCCCCCTAACTTGTTCTGGGTCCTCCCTCCTCTTATCAGGCCTCAGACTTAGTCTCTTTGGGAGGAGTTTTCCCTGTTATCTGAGCTAGGTCGTCTGTGGTTAGTTGCTTCCTCTTGTAATTTCTCTAAGTGCTGTTAGTATTGAAGCTTGGCTATAGAGAACTCCGCGCATGCTCTAAAGCTATGAACTTAACATTGCCAATTTAGATATTGCCAATTTAGTTTTTGATCCCTTCAAATATTATTCAAAAATCTTTGATTCAAGCAAGGCCTAAATGTTCTGCACAGAGGCAACTCTGAACCTGCAAGGACGCCTATTTTTTTTAATTAGAATTTTTTGATACAGTAAAAGTATACAAAACAAAAAGATAGAATATAATAAAAAGAAAAAAAGAAGAAATAAAAAAAAGAAAACATAGTTACGCCTTCCGGCCTTCTTTCCATCAAGCAGAATTTTTTTAGGCTTACTTCTTAATATCATCAACTCTATATTATCAAATATAAGAATGTAGTATTGACCTTTGTTATGTATCAAACCATAGTGCAATTATTTTGAATTGTGTGGTTCAGAAACTGGCTAAGGTAGTGAGAAATTGGTATTTCAGTGTTTCTCTGTGGAATCATAAAGAATTTGTACAACAAATGTGGGTAGAGACTTTGCAGTACTTTGATTTGAATTCAGGAACATCAAGTGCCTGGATTTTTGAATGGGAAGCATATAAATCTTATACACGAGGTTGAATTATTGCTTATGCATTATATAAAAATAAGGTTAAAAATAAAAGGGAAAATAATCTGAAAGACTAATTGAAACATTTATGGGCACAGATAGTTAGAAGCCCATCTACTACTTTGTATAGAGAAATACAGCAGAATAAATATGAATTAAATACTATAATATCACATCAGACAGAATTCATGCTAACATATTTACGACAGAGATACTGGGAGAATGGTGAAAGCCCAGGTAAAATTTTGGCTAATTGTTTAAAACAAAAGAAAGATAGGGTTATAATTCCAATTATTAGAGATGAAATATATAAAACTTCAACAGATATATGGTGCGTTCGGAAAGTATTCAAACCCCCTTCACTTTTTTCAATTTTGCTATGTTGCAGCCTGATACTACAATCGTTCAAATTCATTTTTTTCCTCATTAATCTACACTCAGTACCCCATAATGACAAAGTGAAAACAGAATTTTAGAAATGTCTGATTTTGCTATGTTGCAGCCTGATACTACAATCGTTCAAATTCATTTTTTTCCTCATTAATCTACACTCAGTACCCCATAATGACAAAGTGAAAACAGAATTTTAGAAATGTCTGTAAATTTATGAAAAAGGAAAAACTGAAACATCACATTGCCATAAATATTCAGACCCGTTACTCAGTAGTTTGTTGAAGCACCTTTGGCAGCAATTACAGTCTCGAGTCTTTTTCAGTACGATGCGACAAGCTTTGCACGCCTGGATTGGGGGATTTTCTGCCATTCTTCTTTGCAAATCCTCTCAAGCTGAATCAATTTGGATGGGGACTGTAAGTGGACAGCCATTTTCAGGCCTCTCCAGAGATGTTCAATAGAATTCGAGTCAGAGCTCTGGCTGGGCCAGTCTAGGACATTCACAGAGTTGCCCCTAAGCTATTGCTGTGTTGTCTTGGCTGTGTGCTTAGGATCATTGTCATGTTGGAAGGTGAACCTT